GCACATCACGAGACAGTACTTTGTGATGTAAGCAACCACATACACCACTCCCTTCTTCTCCTCCCCATTATTTGTCCTTTTCTTTTCCTTTCCCCAATAATTCTCTTCTTATTTTATTCCCTATTTTTTATTTATTTCCCCTTAACAAAATAATACTACTAATCTTTGTTTATTATTTCTCTCTTATGATTCCTTTTCTTGTTTTTAACCTCCTTTTGATTCTTCTTTCTATAAATACAAATACAAAATCACTTCTTCCTCTTAAAAAAGCTCTCTACGTTTCTTTCTCTTTCAATCTCTCTAATTGCTACTATGATGCAAGAATTAGGCTTAGAACGTTTCTCAAACGACGTCGTTTCCTTAGACCTTACTCTTCCTTCTCAAACTTCATCTACTTCTCTCTCCATCGACGAAGAAGAATCAACGGAAGCCAAGATCCGACGGCTTATATCGGAGCATCCAGTGATCATCTTTAGTAGATCTTCTTGTTGCATGTGCCACGTCATGAAAAGACTTCTTGCAACAATCGGAGTAATCCCAACTGTCATCGAGCTTGATGATCACGAGGTTTCCTCTCTCCCCACGGCTCTAGAGGAAGAATATTCTGGTGGTGTCTCCGTCGTTGCTCCGCCGCCGGCGGTTTTCATTGGCCGTGAGTGTGTCGGAGGTCTTGAGTCACTTGTTGCTCTCCATCTAAGTGGTCATCTTGTTCCTAAGCTTGTCCAAGTTGGAGCTCTCTTTGGGTATGATAATTTGTAATTTTTCATCATCTATTTACTTGTTTTTTATATAGTCTCTTCAAGTATCAAAAAGAAAAGAAGAAAATTAGGGTTTCTTTCTTTTCTCATTATCATCCGATGATCAAAATTAAAATACCCATATGTAGAAAATGAATTATGAATAATTAAAGATGTGTAAGTAGTAAATTTTATATAGTTTGCTTCCTCATTTTATCTCTTTCTCTCTTTTACTAAAGTATACATTATTATTCGATCAACCTTAATTACGAATCGGATTGATTATGACTAATAAAATATGATCTCGTTGTATAATGATTCAAATTTATTTATTTATTCTAGACTTCTAGTAATTTTGTTCAACAATATCAGGATGAGAGATTCCAATTCCATTGATAGATTTATTGATAAAATGCAAAAATTTTATATGGATTGATCTAATATTGTTGGGCATTTTCGTTCAAAAATATTATACTATTGGCAATTGATTAGTTTTTGTTATGTATGATAGGATTGATTTTACTAGTTAGTTCTTATGGGTAATTATTTATTTGGTAAACTAGGCATCTTTATGATCAATTTTATGATGATATGAATACGTTTGTCGATTTCAAAGTTAGTATTTATTCTAAAAACTAAAGTAGAGAATTGAGGGAAGAAGATTCTACCATTATTTGTAAGGTCTCCAAGCTCTCAGCGTCACGTTAATTTCCTATTCAAGGAAATATTCTTCTTTAAAAAAACATTATTACAACAACAAAAAAAAGTCGGCATAAT